CAAAATCAACAGACAAATGTCTACCCTTCTTTAAAATTCTTTGCAAATCTATTCAGTACCGACCAGATGTAGAGGAGGTACCAAAAGTTAAAAGCCAATATTGTCACACCCCCTTACTCTCCCATGTCATACCCGGAGAGACCCTATATCTCTATTTCTCCTCGTCGTTATCTATTGTGAGCTCCGTCCTTGTTAGGGAGGATGGAGGAGTCCAATGCCAATATACAATGTAAGCAGGGCATATCGAGGAACGGAGGTGAGATACTCTGAGTTGGAAAAGTTGGCCCTTGCACTTGTCACCACTGCCAGGTGCCTACGCCACTATTTTCAGAGTCACACCATCATGGTTGTCACAGATCAACCACTTAAGGAAATCCTAGGAAAGCTAGATGTGTCTGGCAGACTCCTCAAATGGTATGTCAAGTTGAGCGAGTTTGATGTGCAGCATCAGCCGAGGGAGGCTATAAAAATGCAAGCAATTATAGATTGTGTGGCCGAATCTACACCACCAAAAGAAAGAGATTCCCATGAAGGGGTATCGAGCGCCCCTGCACCCACCTACCCCGTACATAGCGCCTTAATCCATAATGAGGCAAGCCCAAACACCATCCCTAGAAAACCTAGCGCCTTGGAGATACCCCTAGGCCCCTGAAGTCCAGACTCCTAAGCCAGAGGCACCCAAGTCCCTTGCCTCTACTCTTCTAGAGTCCTCAGCATCCTCGTTTGCCCATAACCCAGCCTGTTGCGCTCCTCACTAAGTCTTATGCTCCTCCAAAGCAAACACCCCCCACTGGCATAGTATCATGTTTAAGATTGTACATAGATAGATCCTCCACTAGCAAGGGCAGAGGTGTAGGGTTAGTGCTGATTAGTCCCCATGGCACCCCACTCAAGTATACTATCTCGCTCCATTTCGCGGCATCAAACAACCAAGCAAAATATGAGGCCCCCATATCAAGTTTGAAGCTCGCGATTAAGATGGAGGCCCTCTGTCTGACGTCTTATAGCGATTCTCAACCGATAGTCAACTAGGCAAAAGGAGACTTTGATGGGAATGAGGAAGAGATACAAGAATACCTGTCAGTGGTCCAAGCTCTATTGAAAAAGTTTAACCATTTTCAAATACACCATGTGCCCAGGAAGGAGAATGTCATGGCAAATTCGCTCACCCAATTCGCATCTGCAATTATACAAATGGCCCAGCATTGACAGGCCACCAGTTTGAGCCAAACAAGCTCAAGACAGAGGAGGATGATGTCAACTATGTATCCTCTAAAGCCAATTGGATGACACCTATCTGAGCCTATGTAGAGGAAGACGTTTTCTCTGAGAATTCAATGGAAGCCAAAAACTTGAGGATAAGAGCATCTGCGTATGTCATCTTGTGTAACACCCTTAACAAGAGAAGTTACTCGCTGCCCCTAATCCGTTGCCTCTCTCTCTCGAGGAAATCGATTAAGCCATGACGAAAATCTACTAGAGAATATGCAAAAATCACTCAGGAGGGCGTGCACTAGCTCACAGGGCAGTGAGACAAGGCTACTACTAGCCTACCATGATCAAAGGCGCCCGTGAATCTGTAAGAAAGTGCTACAAATGCCAACGCTTTTGTAATAGTGCTAAGACAACCACCAGAAGAGCTCATAACCATCTTGAGCCCATGACCCTTCTCCATGTGGGGGATCGACATCTTAGGTCCCCTACTTATGAGTCAGGGCCAATGTAAATTTGTGATAGTAGCCATTAACTACTTCACCAAATGGGCAGAAGCTGAGTATTTAGCCAAAATAATGGACCAGAAAGTGAAGGACTTCATCTAGAAGAGCATAGCATGTAGTTTCAGAGTACCTCATGTAATAGTAAGTGATAATGCTAAGTCGTTTGACAACAAACTCCTTAATAGCTTATGTGCTAACCTACAGATTAAGCAACCCCACTCTAGCCCAGCCCATCCATAGGTGAACAGGCAGGCAAAGGTCACCATCAAAACGATCCTCCATAATCTGAAGACCAGATTGGAAAGCGCTGAGGGGCGACAGGTGGACGAGCTCCTATGAGTATTATGGGCTTACCGGACAATGTCAGGAAGCCCTACGGGTGAGACCCCTTTCTCTTTAACCTATGGTACAAAGACTTTTATACTAGTTAAGATTAGGGTACACTCCCTTAGGGTCCAAAACCATAACCCTACCACTAACGAAAAAGGCCTCTGCATCAAACTTGACATGATAGAGGAGGAGTGAGAGATGGTTATGCTTAGGAATACGAAGTACAAATGTCACATAACCAAGTACAATAACTTGAGGGTGAAGCCTCTCTTCTTCTTGCCTGGGGACTTGATACTGAAAGAAGTCATCCTATCTACCAAAGACTCTCGGGAAGGGAAATTAGGCCCTAATTAGGAAGGACCCTACATGGTGACAGAAGTTGTAAAATCGGGCACCTACAGAATTCAGAACTTTTAAGGGAAAGTCCTGTCCCATCCATGGGACGCAGAACACCTGAAGATGTATTATCAATAGTGGGGTACAAGTTAGTGGGGGTACAAGTCAGTGAGGGTACAAGTCAGTGACTATTATCTTTTTGTTGTTTCAGACAATTCTTTTTGTTATCTATTACTTCAAATTATGAAATAAAACTTTGCAAGAATTATTTTGTATAAAACTATCTCTCATTCAATAGAAGTTTGTAAACTATTTACAAAAGTTAGAACATGACCTAGCAATAAAAAGAGAGACAAAAAGATAAAATTTGTCATACTCCTAACATCACTCACTACTCCCCGAACCACTTTCATCAAAGCTCTCCCCATCACTATCAGTTCTTGGTGCCTCATAAGGGATGAATCCAAAAAAGTCAATGGCATGGAAGGCTACTGAGGTCTTTCCCCTAACCTCCTCATAACCATCAATAAAAGAGCCTACAATGGCCCTCTCAGTTGCCTCCTTCCTCCTCTCCATCTCAATGGAGTGAGCCTATACCCTGGTAACTCTCTTACGAGCTGCTTGCAGGTTAACCTTTGTCATAGCAGCCCTCTCCCGAGCTATCCATATCTCGACCTTAGCTCTAGTGGCCCCTCGCAGGACGCCCATAGCTCTGTCTCTGTTCTCGCGCAGACAGCCTCTCTGTAAGTCTCCAAATGGGTGGCCCTCTCGTAGGACGCCAAAAGCTCGACCTTGAGAGGTGCAACTTTCTCGTAAGCTAGCCTCAACTGCTCCTTGGTAGCCTCTTATGCTTACCTCTCTAGCCTTAACTGCTCTTCAGCAGCCTTTTATGCATGCCTCTCTTTTGGCAGATCTCTTGATGCCTCATCCAACTTGAATGACCTTGAAAAGAGACATGGAAAAGTAGTAGCCACTTGCAGGTATCCAAAAGGCATAACATGAAAAAGAAAGAAATGTTGAAATCGAAATTAAAAAGGAGAAAGATGTACCATAGCAAAGCCTTTCATCGCAGTATCAATGATGCCCTCTAGACCTTAAGAGCTGACCTCTTTAATATTTGTGGTCATCACAAACCTCTAAAGTCTCTTCTTGGCTAGATTCATATCCCGCAGCATGGACACTGAGCCACTACTAGAAGCAGGACAACTACATGGAGCTTCGGACCCAGAAGATGGCAGCAAAGAAGTCTCGATCCCCGAAGTAGTGGTAGAACTAACCCCAGAACTCGAGGGAGCCATGCGATGAGAAAGAGTGGGGGCATCCTCTAATCTAGCCTTCTAGGATGTAACATTGTCGTCAAACCGTCGAGAGACACTAGAGGCATCGGCCTTTGCCCTATTGGGGGGAGGGGAAGACACCACCCTAGAAGCATAGAGAGCCTCCACCATCGTTCTATGAATAGTGGTACCTATGAAACTGGTATAAAGAAAAGAATCTACCATATTGCAATCATCAAAACTTATTGGAATGATCAAATATCTTTCATCTTTTGCCTAGGTGAGGCTTTAGGATGACCCGTCGCGGACATGATGGTCCTAAACTCCTTGATAGGATGATCCCAAATGGCATGAAGCTTACTCTCTTACTCTACAGATAATGTGGGTGGAGCTGCAAAGGAACCAAATATGTAGTGAATACGAGGGATATGATAGTAAGTTGTAAAAGCAAAGGTAAAACCTTTACCTAGCTTGGTCCTTAGAATAGTGTCCCATTCACAATCTTCCTCAAAGACCTACTCACCTCCAACAAAGAAAAATCTAGATTTCTAGTTGTGGCAATTTGAAGGTAGCCCAGTAATAAACTTGTCAGATCTCAGAGCAAAGCGGTACAATCCTTGATAAGGAGTAGGATTACCCNGAATTTAGATTTCTAGTTGTGGCAATTTGAAGGTAGCCCAGTAATGAACTTGTCAGATCTCAGAGCAAAGCGATACAATCCTTGATAAGGAGTAGGATTACCCAGAAATACATATGAGACCAAGAATTCCTTGAAAGGGGGAGAAACGTCCTCGCTGTGAACCAATCGCCAAAGTGAGAAGAACGTCAGAATTACCCTCCAATCTCCCTGGGATAAGTGACAAGTGGCCCAGGATCCGACATATAGGTCTAGGAATAAGAAATCTCAATCCTACCTTCAAAACATCCTCGTAGAATATGATCTCTCCAGAGGAGTCTTAACACGTCGATTCGTTTTTCTCGGCTCAGCGGCACATAACAATAGGAGGAATGTGAAGGACAACACAATGCGAGCAATGTCATCATCACAATCTATGGAGCTTTTTTTTTTTTTTTTTTTTATGGAGCTATAGTTAGAGGTTACCTTTGAACTGTCACTATCAATGGTACCCTTGCCTCGCAAAAAATCTGTTGTGTTGTTCCTCATCGTGCCTCTATTAGAATGAGTACCTGCCAAGATCAGACCCCGTGTCAAACAAATATCAAAATGAAGAAAGGATAGATAAGTAAATGGATTCGTTTTACCTAATCGAGAGGTTTAGCATGCTCCCTCTTTGGCAAACCGTAGGACATTGCCATCACTACTCAACACGCCTGCTTGTTATTCCTCGCAGCTGGACAACTGCTCGCCAGGGCCCAGTATCCTAGAATTACAGCCCAACACTTTGCCAGAGCCAAAGCCCTTGCCCACACCAGTCTGATCTGTGCCGAAGGCACTGCTTTCACTTCCGTCATGCTCGGCGTCGCCTGTATGCCTAGTGACCACTATTACACTCCCATGCCTAATCTCACTATCTGGGCCTCCATCTCCAGCGTGAAGGGCATTGCCCCGGCTTCCATCGATGTTGCCCAGACTAGCGCAAAGGGCACCACCTAGACTAGCACGAAAAGCACCGCCCAAACCAAGGCCCCTACACCTAGCGCCATGGGTGTCGCTTGCCTGCACACAATGGGAGGCATTTGTCGCAACGTCGCACTCCTCTCCTCTGTTGGCGTCCCTTAGTGCCTGTTGCCTGGTGCTGCCTAGCCGTCTGGTGTGCCCTCTCCCAATGTCGTCTCCTTCCACGACAATGTCTCCTACTCCCTTGGTGTTGTTACCTTCTCCATTGCTGCCTTCGTCACCCACTAAACCACCTTTTGGCTCCCCTTTCCTTTTCTTTGTTGTGTTTTCACCCAAAACACCATCCATAAAGCTACTCTTCTCCATCCTCTTCCAACCTTCGATGAAGACTCATAATTTTTAAAGAGGAGATCATTTGATTGAAAAAGGGGATGGGGTGGTTCAAGGTATAAATGTTGACCATTAAAGCCCTAGGTTTATCCCCTAAAAAGAAAAAATTGGATTTTTATTGCCAAGGGATGGGGTTTCTTGAAGCCTGAAAGAAGATGCCTAAATGAAGGAAGGGGGTTTTAAAGTGAAATCCCATAATCGATGATAGTACAGTTCAACAACAAAATAGGAGGAATGAAAAGTGAGCTCTTGAGGTGTATACAGAGCAAGAAGATGAGGAAGCTACCACCGTGCAGAACAAGAAACCTTTTGCCTATCCAGATGAAGGGGCTCACTCATTCCCTCAACCCCCTTTGTCACAACTGGGGCTTGGGGCATAAGGGCAAATGATGAGCCCAGATTAATTAGAAGACAGGTCAAGCCCAGCTCATGGCCTTAGCCCAATCCAACTTTCAAGAGTCCCAAAATAGTCAACGTATCCTTAGTAATAGCTCAGTCCAACAATAGGGTAGCCGCTACTCGAAGGCCGCACCTATCCTTAATAATAACTCTCCTCCCCAAGAGACTAGTAACCTATCCTTCACTCCACCGCTTCAATTAGGATTTTATGCCTATAAATTGTAAGCCCTCTACACATGAGGGACACACATCTCTTTCAGAGCTATCTCTCTCGTATAACTATCTCACATAGAGCTTGTTCTTGCTCTCTCTTTCTCTCCTACCTACTACTTTATTAATAAAGTCTTCGGCCACTGTTGCCGCGTTCAATGGTTAAGTCACCCTAGCCCAACCTCCCAATCTTTGTCTTTTGTTATTAATTACTTCATTAATTACTCTGNTGGTTAAGTCACCCTAGCCCAACCTCCCAATCTTTGTCTTTTGTTATTAATTACTTCATTAATTACTCTGCATCATATATTTGATTGTTTGATTATACCTAACCTATTTTGTGCATCATCACAATTCATTGACAGACTTACCCATTGCCTTAGTCCATTATTGTTAAGGTTAAAATTTCATCTTAGAAATATTCTATCTTATATGTAATGCAAAATAGCATAAATTTATCTAATTATCACCTGGCATCAATTTTTCTTAATTAGTTGATGATGATAAAAGTCAAACTCTAACTCTATCACTCTTTAATAATCCTGTATTTACTACTAAACAAATAAGAAACTAATTATCGTATTGGGTTTATATTGGCCAATTTTTCACTCTCTATAAAATGGGCTTAGATTGGATCAAGTAATTATTGTTATTTTAACTAGAGAAGTAGATGAAAATAGTGAAAATTGGAACTTAATATAATTTGAGAAACTCTTTTGTCAATAAAAATATGTGCAATCTCTTTGAATTATTAAGCACACATGTTATGTATTTTTTTATAAGTAGGTCCAATAGTCCTTTATTTTTTTAAAAAAATTCCTATTTTAACCTTCAGTGGATCACATATATTTTCAAACAAAAAAGAAGCAACAAAAGAGAAATATATATCTATATAATAAAGTACGACATAAAAAATGACTTTTTTATTATTCACGGTTGAGATCGTTTTGAATTTTATTTTAAAATTAATCCGNAAAAAAAATTCCTATTTTAACCTTCAGTGGATCACATATATTTTCAAACGAAAAAGAAGCAACAAAAGAGAAATATATATCTATATAATAAAGTACGACATAAAAAATGACTTTTTTATTATTCACGGTTGAGATCGTTTTGAATTTTATTTTAAAATTAATCCGACAACTAATATTAAGCCCCCAAATTTAATAGAAAAAATAAGTCTCTAAGAATGTGTTTTGGGGTAACTTTTCAAAAGTGTTTTTAAGACTTATAACTTCTCATAAGTACTTTTAAAAAAATAAGTAGTGTTTAGAACAAATTATTTTAATTACTTCCAANGACTAAAATTAAGCCCCCAAATTTAATAGGAAAAATAAGTCTCTAAGGATGTGTTTGGGGTAACTTTTCAAAAGTGTTTTTAAGACTTATGACTTCTCATAAGTACTTTTAAAAAAATAAGTAGTGTTTAGAACAAATTATTTTAATTACTTCCAAATAAGTCAAAAGTAATTTTACTACTTAAATAAGTAAGTAAAAATAAAAAATAAAAATAACTTCTAGTTCTACTTCTTTAAAATCATTTTTCTACAAAAATACTTCACCACCACCACCGTTGTTGCTGCCATAACCGCTGCCCCCACCACTCCACCACCACCGCCATCTCCATCGTCACCACCCCACTACCATCACCATCGTCATCGCCACCGCCGACACCATCATTGTCGTTACCCCACCACCACCATCGCCATTGTCATCGCTACCACCGTCATCACCCACCAACAATTGATATCACTGTCAATACTCACCACCATCACTATCTTATTCTTATATTTATTATCACCACCACCATTATCCCACTGTCATCTACTACCACAACCCACCACCATTTGGTGTCGCCTATCATCGTCGTCACCCACTGTCACCCACCCCAACCACTAACCACCACCATTTGTCATCGCCCATCACTACTGTCACCCCATTGTCACCCGCTCCCACTATACCTACCATTACTCATAAACTCTCGTCGTCGCCCACCACCGCCATTACTATCATCGTCGCCCCCCCCCCCACCACTACCAATCACCATCACCGTCATCCACCACTAACATCGTCGTCACACATGGTTTCCACTATTACCATCATCACCCAAAATCCACCATCGCTCACCATTGCCACCCACGTCTATCACCATCACGACGGTTGCAGTCACCCACCACAACCATTACTGTCTCACACCACCACTACTGCCACCCCACCACTATTACCTCTGCTCACTCTTATTACATTCGGTGCTAAAATTCTTTTCTCTATTTTTTATGTTTATAATTTGATTTTCAATGTGAATATAATATATGTTTATAATTTATAATTTATTTTATTATTTTATATCTTCATATACGGAACAATAAATAGTGTATATATATAATGCAATAACAACGGTGGTTGAAAAGTAAGTTCCATTGGATTGTTATAGATTTATCTAGGCGACATAAAGTACTAGAAGGTTGGAAGTACGCGGCCAACATCCTCACCATCTTTTGCAAAAGTAAATGGTGACCAAAAGTTTAACATTTTTTTTAAAAAAAAAAAATTTGTTATCATGAGTCATTAATCCAACATATAGTGGCACAAAATTTTTAGTATAGATTATTCTTATGTTCCGTTTGATATGATAGAAAAATAGAAGGATAAAAAGTTTGAAGAATGAAAAATTTGAGGGATAAATAAAATATCATGTTTGGTAAGGAAGGAAAATAAGAAGAATGAAAAAAGTAGTTGGATTAACTTTCCTTCTAACTCATCAAAATCAATCCCTCTAAAATCAAAAGGAAAGTGGATGAAAATTAATTATTTGTGTTGAAATGTATTTTATTTGTCTATATATTATGTATATATTAATTTTATATAAAAATACAATGATAAAAAAATAAAAAAATATTTTTTTCATCTTGGATAAAAATTTTCAATTCAATACGATGACACAACTCGAACTCGACACAAATTTTATGACACAAATTTGAAAAAGACTTGACGTGCAAACAAGAAATATAAAAGGTTCATAATTTTATAACTCAATACGAATCTGACACGACACGACTCGATTGTCACCCCTAATCTTAGCAAGCACAAAAAAAAATAGTTATTTTTATTTTTCATCCATCCAACCAAACACAAAAGAAAGAAAGTGTATCATTCTTACTTTCCATCCTTTAAAGATAAAAAATATATTCCTCTTACTTTTCATTCTTCCTATTTTATATCATTCATACCAAACGGAGCATTAATATATTTGAATAAACTGCTTTTGATTTGTTTAATAATTAAATTGATACGAACTCGGTTATTTATCATAAACTCAATACGATACGAATTAAATTATATAAATATAAATAAATTGAATAAATTTAANGCTTTTGATTTGTTTAATAATTAAATTGATACGAACTCGGTTATTTATCATAAACTCAATTCGATACGAATTAAATTATATAAATATAAATAAATTGAATAAATTTAACATAACACAATTTAAATACAAAGGGAACTCATCGCGGAAAATGACATTTTTCAATTCCTGGTTGGTTTCTAATCTGTTTTTCTTATCATTTCTTTCTAATCTGTTTTTCTTAGAATATGACTGGGTATTGAAAATTCCCAGCAGCATTGAACAGTATAATTACGTACATTTTTTAATCATAGATTTTTTTTTTTCAACAGTCAAGAACGTTCAAATCAATTTACACACATTTCGACTAATTTTCTTTCTAATCCAGTTAAATACAAGTTATCCATCTCGGAACTAGGATATTAATCATAGATCAATCTTATGATTTAACTCTAAAAAATTATAAAAAATCGAGCTCAAAAAACCTAAATTTATAACTTGTTTTTATTATTATTTAGAGTTTCACCATAATTGCTCATTGGCTTAAACATTTTTTTTTTTTGAAGCATTGGCTTAAACATTAATCACACATTTAATCGGACTCAGGCCAATTCAATCCATAGCTGGTCTTACCCTTGATTAAAAATTTCTGATTTGTATAGAATTAAGAAAAATTTGCAAGAAATAAATATTTTTTTTATCCAAAAACTAGAGAAAGAAAAAAGGAAAAAAATGTTTAGTGTAAGAACAGGTGTCACGTTATTGAATAGGGTGATAAAAAATGTGGTGTGGCAATCAAACTCAAAATTTTGATTTTTTTTTTGGTCCGACACTACTACATAGAAATGAGACAACAAGGTTTGAATCAGGGACGACTCAGGAATATGTGAGGCCTAAAACCATAAACATCATAGAAGTTTTTTTTTTAAAAATTATTATTATTTTTTTTGAGATTCAAAATTAATAATTAAAATTTTTTATCCAAATTATGCTAACATATTTTTTTAAAATTGATAGATGA